TTATGTGATAAGAAATTACTCATGTTAAATATCTTTTTAACACACGTTTTCAATCCCAATCGCAATCCTTACTCCTCATTTTTAATGATCCGTACCAAACAGGACTTTGGAGTCTTACTCGTCACTTTCATCTCCTTTCCCGTCTTAGTTGACCTCCAAACAAAAGTCCTTCTCCTAATCGTTTTCGACCCTCTCATTTCTGTTCACCTCCTTCTCCGAAATAGTAGAAATATTTTACAATTGAGGGTGACTTGGCTATACGTTTCCCCCTTAATTCTATGCTAGCTAGAAAGCATCTTTTCTTTGCTAGACTTGAGGAGGTCCGTATCCTTGTAGGAGGGATGCATGAATTTCTTGTACGTTAAATAATGTTTAACAAATATATGAAGGCAAGAAATTTTTTCTTTTTATTCATACAAAACATGACAATGATAACTGTTTTTTGGTGGAATTATTATAAAGTCCCAAAGAAAAGATTTAATCATCCAAAAATCTAATAACAACTAAGGAGCATACAATAACAGGTTCCAACATGGGGATAACAATAGGTTTTTGCTACTCACTTATTATTATTATTATTTTTTTTAGTTAGATCTCTTTCTTGGATCTGATACTAATTCTCCCAATTTTATTTGTCTCCGCCTATAAATCAAAAGGGCGGATTTGGAGGAAAGGAAAACACACCTAATACTTTAATTTTGAAATCAGTAAAACATATATTTACTTATTTTCACAATTTTCAGAAGATTAGCCTAATGAAATCCCTAAATACTTTCTTCCCTTCTAATCCAAAAAAAATATAGCATCAAAATCTATTCCATACCTTTTCATTCAACATGCGTTTTATTTAGTTATCAGAAAAAGCATTGGGAACACTCTAAATATTTAATTTTTTTGTAAGTAGTAAAACTGAATTACTATTCATAATAAACAAGAGCACAAAATTGGGGTAGCGGAAATGAGAATATTGAGATAGACGTGTAGTCATGTAAGAAAAACTAAGATTCGAAATGAAAGTATCAGAGAAAAAGTAATCATGGTGCCTATTGCAGAGAAAATAATTGAAAATCATTTAAGGTGGTATGGGCATATGCAGAGACAACCATGGGATGCGTTAGTAAGAAGAGTAGATTAGATAGTTTAGAGTTCTTTGAAAAGAGATAGAGAAAGACCAAAGAGAACACTTAATTAGGTTACTAAGTAGGATTTTTTGGTGAGCAACTCATCTAAGGATTTGGTTCCTGATAGAGAATAATGACATAGTGCAATTCATATAACTAACATCGCTTATTGGGATAAGATTGTTATTATTGTTGTGTTGATAATGTAGAATACTACTCTAATTCTTAATATATAAGAGCTAGATAATTAATCTGAGGATATCAATTAAAAAAAATTAATTAAAATTTTTGTTTGTCACAAATGAGTTTTTGTCTCCCCAAACTATTATCTTTAATCACGTGCATATTAGAACTACCCCTTGGTGGCAACCTCATACAATCAATAGGGATATTTTGAGAGAAAAAATGGGAGACAAAGTGAATTGAGGTATTGTATTTAGGGTTAAATCCAACCCCCTAACTAGCTCTTATATCAAGAACATGAGGTAGAATAAGAATAAGAAGTTTTAATAATCAGACATATGAAGTTTGATATGTGTGAAGACTGTTCTTCCAAAAACCCATTTAGATTAAATCAAGTAATTTATTTAAAAGATTAACCATGACAGAAAAAAAGAAAATAAGACCACTATCATGGTTAAAAGAAATAAACTTATTTCACGAGCAATATCAATCATTAACTTGGCTCTTGGACTTCCAAAGTCCAGAAATACCATTTAACCATTAGTCCAAACAAAACTCATACTTTCAAACATACAAACTGATAAATCATTTTAAAACAAGCTATGGAGTCCATTAATCAAAAGTTAATACTTTTAAAAGAGTGTCACATGCAAAGTCTTTAGAGGCCTCTGGCCTTCTAATGACCCTCCCATCAAATAGTAGCAACCACAAGTATTAGTTTACAACATCAGAATAAATGAGTCCTATGTCGCAATATATAAAAAATCAGGACATAAAACAAAAAAGAAGGGAGGCTATACAAGCTATAAACAGCACACTAAGCCTCCGGAGCCTTCCCCGATGGACCACTACCTGAACTATCAATTGAAAATAAAAACCACAGGGTGAAATAAAAGCCTTAGTAACCAACTTTCTAGCTTATCATACGTACTAACATGTGTTTGTGATTGGTGTCAAGTAGGACAGTTATCAATTCTCAAGAAACATAGATATATCAATAGAGATATAAAACATGTATACTAAGATAATCTCAATTATCCAAACCCTTACTATGAGGGCTAACACACAAGCCACATAAGTTTATCCCTCACTAAAAGGGATCAATCAGACATATAGGCCTATCGCTCACTCTGGGGGACGAATAGGAAACCACAAGGCCTATCCCTCACTATGAGGGATGAAGAAAACCAACTAATGTGCATCAATGGCGGTTTTACCATGTGGTAGAATAAGACTCAACTCCAAAACCAAACAACATCAAATCAATCAAAATATATCTGGAAATATGTCATTATTTTTTCAACATAATTCATAAGATATAGATCGTATATCATATAATTTTTTTTCCGAACTTCTTAATCACAATTCTAAAAATTTCACAAGACAATTTCATAGCTCTAAAGGTATAACATGTCTTCTTGAGTTCCAAATAGCAAATCATTATTTTCAAATATCAAAATACTCACAAACAACATATTAGTATATATAACAAGTGGAAAATGGTTACTTCTCAAAAACAATAAAAAAGATTACCACAAGATCAATCCCATGCTCAACTCAATAATTAATCTACGCAATTAATATGACCACATATTAATATAAGCTAATAATTAATCAAGCTTATATGTTTAGTTAAATTTCTAATTTAATTTAATTTAATTGTATAAAATTCTTAATTTATAAGTTAAGCTTCAAACTTCAAAAATTCTCTAATAATATATCCTCAGTATTTTCAACATTCTAAACTGATTAAAATCTTAGTAATATGTCAAACAACCCAAATAAATTATTTAACTTAATTTTCATTAGTAAAAATATGATATATATCATAAATAACAGATTTTTTAATTAAAAAAATTAACTTAAATACTAAAAACCAACAAATGGAAAAATCTAAACTGATTAAAATTGACTACTCATTTACCTCTAAATTTTTATGGTCATCTATTATCAAAACTCAATACTTACCCCATATCTAAATTTCAAAATTTTCTCTAATCACTATATAGAAAATATTAGTGAAGAAATTTTGATTAATAAGTTTATGTACCTAAATTGTTTTCAAAACTTATCCTATCCTTCACAAATACTGAAGATCTGCTCCTTACTCCCTCTCGCTCTTTTTCTCTCTCTCTTTCTTGCACCGGACGAAGCAAAACGAAATGGGGGGTATTTTTAATTCCCCTCACACATTTATTAGGGGGAGCCCCCCCCCCCCCAAAATAAATTCACCCTTGCCTTTCCACCGAAAGTTACTTTTTCTTAAATACTAAGATATTATTATTTTATAATAATATGATATTATATATTTTATTTATTTATTTATTTATTATTTTTTAATATTTTTTCATAAATCCTAAAATATAATTTAGGATATTATAATATGATTTGTGGGAATCATGAAATATGGAATATAAATGTGCAGGTTTCATAAGCATAGATTGTGGAGCAAGCAAAGGTTACGTGGATGAATTGACTGGGATCTCGTACCAAACAGATGAAGCCTTCGTAGAAAGCGGATTCAGTCATGAAGTACCCGCCATCTTTCGATTAAACGATCCTCTTCCGTACATAAAAAGACGGCTATACACGTTGAGAAGTTTTCCGGAAGGAGAACGAAACTGTTACACTCTGAGGCTAAAACAAGAGATCCATCAGAAACAAGCGTATTTGATCAGAGCTACATTTGCATATCAGAATTATGACTACAAGAACCAAGTTCCAAAGTTTAATCTCTACACGGGAGTCAATTTTCGGACCACAATTCAATTGGCGGGCATAAATTATTTTAGATATGTGGAAGTAATAATCCCACATGTCACCAACGACATGGTACAAGTGTGTTTGGTAGACATTGGACAAGGCACACCTTTCATTAACGCTTTGGAATTAAGACCACTGAACAGATCTCTCTATTCTGCTCCATTTCCCTTGTTTCCTTACACAAGAAGAGATTGTGGCCAGCGTATTAATTTTGCCAGGTACTCTTCCTGCAGTTTTGCACCAACTTTTACCCCACTTTTTTTTTCCTTCTTTCCCGGTGACATTTACCCCACTTCTTTTAATGTATGTCTAAAGTTAGGTTCAAAAGGACATTAATAAAGTTAGACATTTTTTTTTAACGTATTTTGAAAAACGTAATAAGCTGGAGTTTCAATAACTTGAGTGTAGTATCACTCGCTATAAATTTTGTATTTTATATCAACTGAGATGTGCATAATTTGATAAATAGGCACAATTTTTTAATGTATTACATGGAATTCAAAAAATAAGTCGCAATATTTATCATTTGTAAATAATGCTACTTGTTGTAGATGATTTTATCATGCACACTTTCGTTTAATTGTTTTTGAAAATGCAGGTATAAGGACGATCCATATGACCGCATGTGGAGCATATATGACAATTCTGATTGGGATGTCTTGAAAGCAAGCGCACAAGTAGAAAACTCCACTTATGAGCTTCCATCAGAAGTATTAGTCACAGCATGCCAACCCCATAATAATTCCAATCTCTTAACTGACAATTGGAACTTTGGTAGGCCTTACCAATTTTATTTGTTTCTTCATTTCGCTGAAATTCAAAAGCTTCCTTCTGGCCAAAACAGGATTATCAATGTCACTTTTAATGGTGACGAAAATTCCCTTTCTCAAGAACTGACTCTTGAGTACTTGAAACCTGTCACCCTAATTTCCAACAAGATCACTACAAGTAGTATTAGCTTCACAATCAGAGGAACATCTGATTCTTATGCTTCTCCTATACTTAATGCCTTTGAGATGTTCAGAGTCTTCCCACAGCCAAATTCTCCTACAAATTCACAAGACGGTATTGCTTATATATTATTCTCAGTTTCTGCGTCTTCCTTTGCATTAATTTTCATTATGTTTGATTTTGCAATGTTCATATTAACATCAATACCTTTTATATTTGTTATTGGAAATTACGTAGTTAATGCCATCATGGACATCAAGCGTACTTACAGGATCTCCAAAGTAAATTGGCAAGGGGACCCATGCGTGCCGACTGACTTTGCATGGGATGGTGTGAATTGCAGCCGTGCAAACGACGAGACAAGAATTATTTCATTGTAAGCAACTATTTATGACTTGTTATATTTGACGCAGTTAAGAACAATAAAGAATAGGGAAAACTAATTGATAGGCAAGTCTATATAATCTTATCTCATTTTTAATTACGTTTTTATAGTTTCTTTTTCTTTTTACTGAGTCCTTATTTATAGTTTTATCAATTATAAGTATTGATTCTTATGCTCAAAATTTGTTAATTTGTAAGAGAAATAATATTAGTAGCCAACGACGTGATTCTCACTCAGTGTCCAACTAGATTAATTTTGCCACATGTATCTAATAAATTTAAAATCAACCAAATTACAGATTATATAGATGTAAGGAGACGGTTATAATTCACATTAGCTTAAATTAATATATTATTAGTATGGGGACTCATACCTGTAATTGAGGAAAATGTAAGGACACAATAAAAAAAACCTTGAAGGACTTGATTAAACATATGACAATTATAAAGACTGACGAGTTAATTTTTCCTAAAGAATAATACCTTGCTCTTATTTATGATTTGTTATATAGTGTGGGGATTCTAATTATATTCGTAACATGTCAAAATTTGGCATAACAAATTGTAGGAACTTGAACTCAAGCAAACTCACAGGACCAATAGCTCAAACGTTCACCCGTTTAGAAAAATTGGAGTCCTTGTAAGTTGTCACCTAAAATAAGCTCTGGACATTCTATTATTTAGCTCATCGTTAGATATTATGAACAATTCTAACTCCTCTTTTTCATAGGGATTTATCAAATAATGAATTGTCAGGAGAACTACCAGAATTTCTCGCAACTCTTCCTAATTTGAAATTCCTGTGAGAACCTGAATATATTGCCTTGCAGCTTCAGTACTTGGATTGGGAGGTCATGTATCTAAAAATTCCATCTATTTTCTTTTTGCAGTAATGTCACTGGAAACAAGCTCACAGGTCCAGTTCCCAAGGATTTAAGGGAAAATCCTAATTTAAAGCTCAGGTTTGCTTGTCTTCAATATCAGATTCTACTTTATTTTTTGTTTAAGATCAGATTTGATAAAACTTTGATCCTGATTGTCATTTATTCTCTGATCGATACTTTGGTGAAAGGAAGACGAAATTAAAGTGAACAAGATCGATAAAATTTTTACTTTCTTATAAATGATCAATAATCTAGAAGTTTGGAGCCATATAAAAATTTATCTTTTATTTTACATGGAGGTAAGTCTTTCTAGGACATTAAAACTGACACCCTTAATTAGGATTACGTCAAGATAATCAGTGACCATAATAAGCCGCTAAGTTTATACACACAGGCACACTTCGGCTACATGAACTTCTCCTTATTCTATAACACACACATATATATTGTTCATACACATCCTCAAGAAGGTAAAAATGTATATTTGATCTTTTAATTTTATACAAGATTTAATTTAGTCTCTAAATTTTATAAATTATCTTTTTGATCAGCCTTAAATCCTAACACTATTCGTTTTAAATGATGATTTTTTGGCAATCATTATTATTTTTAAAAATTAAACTTAATATATGTTTACATTAACGTTTTGTCTACATTCAAAATTTCAATGTTAGCATTTCTTTAATGGTGTAAGAACTAGATAACTGAAAAGGTACATTATAAACTGCAGAAACCAAAATGAAAACCTGCATATATGAAGTTAAAAGACTACAGATGTACTTTTGTCCCCTTCAAGTATATATATGAATCCCCCGAATTTAGCTATACACACAGGCTCGCACACACGAAAACGAACTGTGAACTGTGCGACACATGTTACTTCGAATTTCATTTGCTCGACTTAAATTTCCCCTTCCCATCTTACCAGTGCAGCCAATAATCCTGGCCTCTGTCAGACAGATTCATGCGACAACAACCAAAAGTTTGTAATCCCTCTTGTTGCATCAGTTACAGTTTTTGTTCTAATTACCATTGCTTCTTTGATGATTTGGAGACTCAGAAAGAAAAGACAAGGTATCCCTCCCAGTTTGTATATATGCTGTCGTTTCATTGGGAATATAACTAACATTGATGCTTTCTCATTTATTACAAATCTAGCATGCTTTTCCCATAACTTGGAAACTTTTCAATCGTGTTTCTTCTGTCCTACAGTTACAAACTTTCAAACATAATATGGTACTCTCATGCCGCTGATTTCTTGACCTTATAACAAGCTAGCCTCTTGGCTGAAGTTATTTTTGCTTCCTTTTGATGTCTCCAAACATTTAATATAACCATGCAGATTTGTCTGCAGAACCCCGAAGCGTGGAAATTCTGAAACAAAAGAATCGAGAATTTTCTTACTCACAAGTTCTTCATATCACCGACAATTTCAAAACTCTTATTGGAGAAGGAGGATTCGGGAAAGTTTACCTTGGCACTTTGGAAGATAATTCTCAAGTTGCAGTAAAATTACTTTCAGAATCATCAAAGCAAGGATACAAGGAGTTTCAATCAGAGGTTAGATATGAAAAAGGATGCATCATGATCTTTAAAGCTTTTATAATTATGAAAATTGGGTGCAAGATCTTCCTATTATCAATTATATATGATGGAACTTTCTTCACTTCTAGGCTCAGCTCTTGACGGTTATTCATCACAGAAACTTGGTTTCACTTGTTGGTTATTGTCATGAAAATAACATGAAGGCATTGATTTATGAATATGCGAATAATGGAGACCTTGGCCAACTGTTATCAGGTTTGTCAGATAGTGCATAATTTTGTGCTTTTATTCAAACTACTCTTTAATTTTAATTTTCTGCACTTAAATGTGGTCGATCAAATGCTTGGAATAATTGTATAGTGCGCACGCATGTTTTTTTTTTTTTAAATATTAAACGTCTTGTTAGAAAAACAATTTTATGTTTTGTAGAGAGAAACTCAAATGTTTTGAAGTGGAATGAGAGACTTCAAGTAGCAATTGACACAGCAAAAGGTGACAAGAAAACTACTACATCATTAATCTGTCTCTCCTTATAATTAAACTTTACTATACGTTCCTCTTTCTTATATAATATATGGTCGAGTTGCAGGATTGGAATATCTTCATACTGGTTGTAAGACTCCTATAATCCATAGAGACTTGAAACCATCCAACATTTTATTGAATAAATCCATGATAGCTAAGATTGCTGATTTTGGACTGTCCAAAGCGTTTACAAACGAAGAAGATTCTCATCTATCCACTCAACCAGCTGGTACTCTTGGTTATATTGATCCGGAGTAAGTGCTTTTGACATATCAATCAAAAAAGTTCCAAGACTATCGGCTAAAGAACTTTAGAAAACAGCATATAATATTTAGTCTCAATTCATTCACCTATAATATGTTGAAACTAATCTATTATACCAACCCCAAAAAAAAAAATTCTATTCAATCTTCTAATTTATTCTTCTCCTTTGCAGATTTCAAAGATCTGGACAACTAAGTAAGAAAAGTGATATCTATAGTTTTGGGATGATTCTTCTTCAACTCATAACATGTCGGCCTCCAGTAAAAAGAGAAATTGAAGATGTCAGTTTCATTATTGATTGGATTAAGCCTAAAATTGAATGTGGGGATATTGAAGGCATTGTGGATCCAAGACTTGAAGGAGCGTTCCATGTTAGTTCAACGTGGAGAGCTATTGAAGTAGCAATGTCATGTGTCCTACCAAAACCTACCCAAAGGCCGGATATAAGTTTCATGTTGCAAGAACTACAGGAAAGTTTGGCTTTGGATAATACTCTCACAAATAGTAGTTTGCATGATTCTGCTGTGAACAGTGAATTAATCACTCTCGTCTCTGCTAGGTAGTCACTATATATATCTCTCTTCTAAACAACACTATAATTGTATGCATTTAAGGATCATTATCCATCTCTCCTCTTTAAATGATATCAGATTGTTTAATTGTATGTAGTCAGTACATATAGGTTGGTTTGTATATAATAAACAAAGGCCCCAATCTACAAGCGTTTAGTAGTTAGCGGTTTCCTATCACGATATGGCTAGCTGTATATGGAAGGAAATAGAGTAGTTTATATAATTAATTAATTAACTTATTAAAAAATTTCCAATGAGATGACCAAAATAGTTCATTTCACGGTCAGAACATCAGTTGATTCTTATGCTACCCTCCTATATATCATCAATATGCTTGTGAACTTTTCGAAGTCATCCAAGAATCAAAATCGATCAATTCTTACACAAGACGGTATTGTGTGAGAATCAGGCATAACATATACTTTAGGGTGCTTCCAATTGGTTCATATTATTATTAAATTTTAGGGTGCTAATCACTTTTTTCATGAATACTTTAGGGTAAAAATACCTAAAGACATTCTAAGGTTAATAATAATGGTCAACAGCTTAATCCGGTAGTCAAAAAATGAGGCTGTAATAATTTTGACACTCGAAGGGCGAAATTGCTCCAATAAAAAGTTTAAAATACCAGCTCCTCTCAAGGTAGCTTAGAGACAAAAATATCTTTGAATCTTTTACATTGTATGGCTGGTCGATTGGTATTGATATTGGTGGTATTATTGATATTGATTATTGATTTGTTATGTGATGAGACAGCTCATCGATATGAGCAAGGACTTGTTAACAAATGTAGGTCAACTCATTGAATACAATATTATCAATGCAAGTACAGAAGTGTTTGGATTATAGCATCTCCAAGCATTTGTGACTTGATATTTTTCATGTGTGTTATGATTTGACTCTTTGTAAGTAATTATAAATAATAGTATTACTCTTCCGGTTTTAAATATAAGATCTTTATACTAGTGTGTATAAGATTCTTATATTTAGGATCGGAGGAGTATTATAATTTTTTTTGATAACAATAATATTACATATTATTAAAGAGTAAAATAACACGCCACTTCGGATTCTCCTAATTTGTTTTTGCTGTTTTGACACATCCGACATTTTTGCCTTTTTAATTTGAATATTTATTTTTTGAGAAAATCGTGAAAAAAGACCTTAAAAATAGAAAATTATAAATAAGAATCCATTATAACATTATTATGGGTTTTAACAATAATTGATAAGCAAATGACAGTGATTTTCATAAATGGGTCCTTATATACAATATTTCAATTTAAACAATCTTCTTTTATGATTTTTCCTTCTTTCTTCTTTCTTTATATTTAAATCTCATTTCTCTTTCATTTTAGTTCTTGAGGCTTCCTTAACGTTCCTAAAAATATTTATACTTTAGTTTTATAAAAGCTTTTACTTTTTGACTTAGTCCCTAAAAATTATTCTATCATTTTAGGGCACTTACAAACTTCTGCTAAAACAATTTTATTTTTAAACTAATTCTAGACTCAAAATTAGGAATATGGCACATTTTATCTCAATTTTAATTTTTGATCGTTAGATGAACATTTGTCGTCAGTCAATATCATTCACAACTTGATTAAATAAAACAGAGTTTTATTGGATAATAATTTCTCTCATTGTTCGATTTGAACAGTCAAAATCGATCTGATGGTCAAAGATTAAAATCGAGATAAATCATGATTGACAGTCATGCGCCCCAATCCAGAACTTCTTCAAGCTTATAGTATTATCAATAACCATATATTTTCAAGCGTATAGGTACTATGGTCTAGCAATACATTATAAATCTAAAACTGTAATGCTAAACGACTTAAATTAAAAACAATAAATGCATAATATATTATATGCAGAAGGGACTTCCTATATGAACCAGGGAGTTTTTTTTTTTTTCCTTGCATCAAAACAAAATGATAGGGATAACGACAGTAAAGTTCCGCAATCAACATTATATCTACTACAGCTTCCAAACTGAATATAAGACTTTCTTGATTAATTTGAAAAAAATTTTAAAAAAAATCTTTTTAAAAAATAAATAAGTATGAAAAGGGTCTCAAAGCCAGTACTAAAGCCACTTTAGGAAGTCTACTGTGCAAGAGAATTAGTCACTATTATCGGTGATAGATACCCTGAGTTCAATCAAAACAAATTGAGAAAAAGAAGCTAAATAAATTACTTTAAAACATTTATATTTATTTTTTTTTTGAACTTATTTGACTAACTAACAAACTAATATACTCCTTTGGTCCTAAATGTAGGAACTAATTTTGAATGTCAGTATGTTGGTTATATATATAAGATCTATGTGTATCATTTTTTTCAAATTAACCTTATTGATATTCCTCAAAAAATAATCAAGTAAGAGATGGAAAGAGAAAATTAAGATAATTAGGATATTTTAGAAAAAAAAGTTACTACTTCTAATCCTTAATATAAGAGTTAGTTTGAATTTCAATTTGATCCTAAAATAAGACCTCAATCCACTTTTTCTATTATATTTATTCATTTTTTTCAAAATAGTCCTTGTAATAGTTGTACATGTTAAATATTTTATCAAATGACACTTGATTAGGAAGGGCATTTTAGGAAAGACAACGCATATTTATCACAAATAACTAATTAAACTAATTTTCTTAATATATTCAAATTAGTTAACCATCTCTTATATTAAGGATTAAAGGTAGTGTACTCCCTCCATCCCTTTTTATAAGCAACAATTACCTTCCATCTTTTGTCCCTAAATCTAAGCAACAATTGCAAGTTGTCTTAAGTTTTGTTAGCAAATTTCCTGTTTTACCTCATTAATTTAATACCTAATATATTTATTATCTTATTTTTCAAATCATCATCTCTCTGCATCACATATTCTCTCTCTTTCATAATTCTCTTTATTATAATAATTTTTTATTCTCTCCCCTCCCATTAAATAAGGGTATTTTAAAGAATTCTAATTTTTACCCATTTACTCTTCTGGTCCTATTTATAAGTCACTTTCAACATGTTTCACACAAATAAAAAAAAATCTTAAACGTTATTAACTCTCATTTAAAATTTAACAACTTTTCAACTTTATCCTTATTTAATATATATTATACCTCATATAAACAAAGTTAACACAAAAATAAATGAGAGATAAAGTTGTACATCTATACAAAAAATTTTCTTTAGTGTCTTATAAATATGATAAAAAAATCTTTTTTCTTTGCCCTATAAATAGGATCAGAGGAGTATTATCTTTAACTGATTGTTTGATCTGTGTAATGGAGTCTAAGGTTGCTTATAAAAAAGAGCGGAAGGAGTATCATATTAACTAATTTAACTAACATCGTTAAACTACTTAAATTAGTTAATTAGATCTTAGATTAAGAACCAGAGGAGTAAAATCTAATAACTATACACATAAGTATTAACATATACTATAATTGAATAACTTATTTAGCTTCTTAATCTATCCAAATTAATTAATTAAGTTTTATATCAAGGATTAGAGGTGTTATCAACTTTTTAAACTGTTTTACAATAAATTTTGATAATATATAATAATTGACTTGAAATTTATGCTTAACTTGCCTGTGGATTGAAGAGGTACGTTTGACTAGATAGTAAATTACTATAATTTACGAATTATTCAAATTTCGACGCATATCATTTAACAAAGACTTGGAGCTCTATTGTAATTGGGGTCCCGCTTCCGTGCTCATCAAGTGATTTAATATTATTGACTTGAAACCGTCTAGATCCAATCTGTACGGTCAAGATTTAATATTATTAAATAATTATTTTAAAATAGAAAAATTATATTTTTAAAAAATGATAGTTAAGAGATTATTTTTATTTTTTATCCTATACCTATTAAAATAATTATTTTTAAAAAATAAAAATAAAAATAAAAATAAAAATAAATCTGGACCGTCCAAATCAGATCTGGGCGGTCCAGATCTGATGAGCATTGGGTGCTCATTAAAACTGATGAGCATCCAATGTAAATCCGTGAGATAACTTACTGTAGGTCTCGAGTGATAAGCATAAATTACAATCGGTCCAGATTTAGATCTAATCTGAACGGTCCAGATTTAATATTGTTAAATAATTATTTTAAAATAGAAAAAATTATATTTTTTTAAAAAAATAGTTAAGAGATTATTTTTTTATTTTATACCTATTAAAATAATTATTTTTTTTTTTAAAAATCTGCACTGTCCAGATCAGATCCAGACAGTCTAAATCTAATGAGCATTAGGTACTCATTAAAACTGACGAACACCCAATGTAAATCCTTATCTCATAGGACAACGGTGCCATCACTGTCAATATCTATCAACAGCTATTCGAAGTATAAAATTTATGTTAAAAATAAAAATGTACATATAGTTATTTTAATTTCCCACAAAATTCATTTTACTCTTTTAATTTATAGAGTTTTTTTTTTTAGTCCTTTAACTTGCTACCATTAACACATACAAAAAATGATGACACTGAAATTTGAAATGTTGCCAAAACATTTCTAAATACTAACGTCTTTAAGTTCACTTTTCAAAATAGGCATTTGAAATATGTTTTTAATTAGCTATTACGCAAATAAATAAGTTTTAAAAATGTGATGAAAAAAAGGAACATTATAAAATTTCATAGTATTATAAAAATTAATAAATTTTAATAAATTTTATAAGATATTAGAAAGTTTAAAAATATGTTTTAGAATTATTTTTTGATGGTAGGAAAAAGTTATTTTTATTGAAAAATACAAATTTTTAAATATAAATTTAAGTGTCAAACTTATCGGCTAATTAACATTTGGATGGATAAAAACATACAGAATAATGTCAAATATATAATGAATGTTTGTGTAACATATAAGTTAATTTTAAGAAGGGAAGTTTATATATATGTTTCTAAGATAGAGAGAATGTTTTAAGGGAGGTTGTATGTTATTCTATTTTATTGATGTTGATACTATTCCACTATCCCTTTTAAATTCATCCCATTGGCCTCGTGCTCATTTTTCTAAATATATATAGGCACACAAACACATATATAAAAGATAATTCTTAGTCATACCATATATGCCTGCTGGACGGCTTATTTTGTAGAATTTTTTTTTATGTATACTATAATATTCAGTAAACTCACACCACTAATTTTCTGCTAATAAAAGAGGTGCCAATCACTTAAGCTTTGCCAGTTCATTTCTGTTTTCCTCTTCCTCGAAACTTGAAGACATGAAGAGAATGATCTCTTGGATTCTTGCTTTGCTTCTTCTGGTTTCCTTCTTCGCTATTCTTGCAGATGCTGCTAATAGTAGAGGTAAGCACTTGGCCACCATTCATTAATCTCCCTCTAGTTCTTTTCTCTGAGGAAATTTTTTGCCGCAACACACGTGAATTTTTTTGCCGTATAACTCACGTACTTATTATTGTTTTTTTTCACTGAGGGTTTGAATTCACAAATCACAACCTTACGCGTAACAAAACCTTAAAAAATAAAATATTTGGTGTCAATTGGACTACAATGCCCCGAGATACAATTTAAAGTTTGTGATTAGTCAGAACTATAAAGTAGGTGGGTTAATGTAGAGTCAAATGGATAATTATGAGAGGCATTTTAGTAAACATATATACTATTAAATATTCTTTAAAATGTGTAATATTGCTGTTGGCAAAAAAAATTGTAATATTGCTTATATATATTTGGCAACAAAACTTTCTTCCATTTTGTTGCGTGTACTGGGTAATAGAGAAGGTATAAAATACTGCCTCTAATGCTCTAACTAATTATTTATATGAGTTACTTCAAAATATTCCACAAGCCAGCTGGTCATCTAAACCAATCTTCATTGCTTATATATCACTTCCAATCCTTAATATTAGAGCTAGTTGACTAATTTGAGTAGATTATAAAAATTAGTTAAGTTAATTATTTATAATAAATAAGTGTTGTCTTTCCTAAAAAGCCCTTACTAATCATGTGTATTAGCTAGAACCATTTGATAAAACATTTAACATTTGCAACTATACAAGGACTATATTGGGAAAAATAGATAAATATAAGAAATAAAATTGATTAAGGTCTTATATTTAGAACTAAAATAAATATCAAACTAGTTCTTATATTAAAAATCGAGAATAGTATTTTTTTTTTTTTGAAGTCATTTGTTACTTATATTTATAATATTCTCAATAGTGAACATCATAATTTCTGAATAAATTTGTTTTTTTCATACACAGGAACTAAAAAAGCAAGAACAGGAAACTTAAACAAAAAACAAAAGCCACCACGTCTGTATTTAACAGCGTCATCATGAGAGTAGCAGACACCGTTGAATACAAATGTGATCACCCAGCTTTTTTTTTTTTTTAATTTTTAAGTTTCCTGTCTTTAGCTCCTGTGTATTAAAAAAATTTAAGAAATTATGGTGTTCACTTTATATAAACCTTAAATTTGTTTTTCATCTATAGTATATATGGATCAAAACTGTGCGGGTTTCATAAGCATAGACTGTGGAGCAAGCAGAGATTATGTTGATGCATTGACTGGGATTTGGTACCAAACAGATGAAGGCTTTATAGAAAGTGGATCCAATCATGAAATACCACCCATCTTTAAATTCATCAATACGCTTCCATATATGGGGCGTCAGCTAAGCACATTCAGAAGTTTTCCAGTGGGGCAAAGGAACTGTTACACTTTGAGACCAATAAAACAAAAGCAGAAGCATTTGATCAGAGCTTCATTTGCATATCAGAATTATGACTACAAAAAGAATTTCCCAAAGTTTGACCTCTAGTTAGGGGTCAACTATTGGACGACAATTGAATTGAATGAGAAAAAAAACTTTTGGATATAATGAAATAATAATCCAAGAGGTTACCAATGGCATGGTTCAAGTGTGTCTGGTTGATATAGGAGAAGGCAAACCTTTTATTAACACATTGGAACTAAGGCCATTGAGAAATTCTCTCTATTCCTCTCCATTTCCTTTATCTCTACACACAAGAAGATATTGTGGCACTTCTTCTAGGACCAAATTTGTCAGGTAGACTTTCTACTCTGCGCCAACTTTTTCAACAATTTTCACTTCTTATTATTATTTTTTTATAAAAAGTATCATGCAATTCATTTCATTAGTCAACTCCATCTAGTGAGATAAGGTTTGTTATTGTTGTTGTTATATTTCTCCATGGTAAAAATTTCAGATACATAGAATTGACAACATATGGAGCCTTAGGCAAGGCTTACAGCATATCTACTATGAATAGGTATAGAGTTGACATCTAGGGCATTACAAAAATCTTGTATAATTAAATTAAGTGAAATATAAAAGAGGTTTAATTAAATAGACTACGCTAAGAAAAAAAAAATTAGCTAGGCATATACAGAATTGTGAAAAGTTTAAATAATAGGTCACATTGTTAATAATTTCTTGAGATTATTATTAATAATTTGCCTTTTTTGGTGATGCTTTCGCTTAATTATTGTTTTGGAAATTAAAATGCAGGTCCAAGGACGATGAATTATTGTTTCGCTTAATTATTGTTTTGGAGTACTTGTAAATTGTAATACAAGAAGTCTCCCAACATTCAAATACTATTATTAAGCATATATATAGTTTGATATAATGAACAATACTTACCTCTTGTTCACAGGGATTTGTCCAACAATGAATTAATAGGAGAACTACCAGAATTTCTTGCAGCTCTTCCTAATTTAAAATTCATGTAAGACCTTAATTGATCGGAGAATTACCAGAATGTGAACACGTGTATCTCAAAATTACATTTATTTTCTTTTTACTATCTTGCAGTAATATGAATGGAAACAAGCTCACAGGTTCAATTCCCAGGGGTTTGAAGGAAAACGCTAATTTGATGTTCAGGTTTACTTGTATTCAATGTCAAAATCAGATTCTAGTTTAATATTCTTGTTTGAGACCAAATTGGATAAACTTCTTGTCCCCTTGTATGGCTTATGTAGAAAGTCTTGAAGTCTTGTGTGTATGTGTGTAAAGGGAAGTCTTAATTCCAAGAACTTTTATATTGGCCATTTCCCACCAGTTGTTAGGACATACTACTTATCACTGCTAATAAGTGTTAAGTCTAAATCATTAACTATAATAAATCACTAAGTACTCCTCTGATCCTAAATATAAAACCTATTTTGTGATATAAATTAGTGTAAATTTACACTACAAAATGGGTCTTATATTTAGGACCGGAGAAAGTATAAGCAAGTGGGTATCTTTAATTCTTTGTTTATGAATAATATATTTTGTCCTTGACTATATCTGTAAAATCGAACCTCACGTGCTCAACTAATACTTCCTCTTCCAATTTTGCCAGCGTAGCCAACAACCCAGGCCTGTGTCAGTTAGATTCATGCGACGACAACCAACGCAAGTGTGTTATTATTCCTCTTGTTATTACATCAATCACAGTCTCAGCATTCTTTCTGTGATGATTTGGAGACTAAGAAAGAACAGACATGGTATTTATTTATTTATCTATTTGTCGATTCATTGGGAACATAACACTCTCAATTTATTTTTACATATGGGTTTCAATTCCAAAACCAAAGAATCGAGAATTCTCTTACTCACAAGTTCTTCAGATCATCAGCAATTTCAAAACTCTTATTGGAGAAGGAGGATTCAGGAAAGTTTACCTTGGCACTTTAGAAGATAATTCTCAAGTCGCAGTAAAATTACTTTCAGAATCATCAAAGCAAGGATACAAGGAGTTTCCATCAGAGGTTAGGCATGAAAAAGATGCATCTATGATATTTAAAAGCTACTTTCTAAATATAAGCAAATTATCACTTATATATGATGGAGCTAATATAATTAACTCGACTTGTAGGCTCAGCTCTTGACGGTTATTCACCATAGAAACTTGGTTTCACTTGTTGGGTATTGCCATGAAAACAACATAATGGCATTGATTTATGAATATGTGGATAATGGGGACCTTGCCCAACTTTTTAGTATCACCTGGTGATGTAGTTTTATTGTGTTTTTCATTTGTATACGATTACATATATGATTGGTAAGCAAGTTTTTTTTTTTTTTGGTAGAGAAAAATTCAAATGTTTTGAAGTGGAATGAGATGCTTCAAATTGCAATTGACACAGCAAAAGGCAACAAAACTACAACCTTTTGTCTTTAGCATAGAGCGAGATAACTAATTAATTTATAAATATTTAAAAAGTTAGTTAAATTAATTATTTATGAAAAAAAAAGTGTTAATTTTCTGAAAATATTTTATTTAATCATTTGCATTAGATTATTAATTACATTCCAATTCCTTCCTAGTACCTCCCAGGAAATATCCCGAAATAAATTGACGAGTTGGTGTGAGCCGTGCACTTTTCCAATAGGAATCTATTTTGTTTTTAAAGATCGCAGCTTTCGTGTTTTGGTGCGTCCTTGGGATCCTTTCAATGACATATTTTGTGTTGAAAAGGTGTTTATATGATAGAATATGATTTGATCAATTGTGTAAAGCCCATCAAAAAATATAATTTGAAAAACAAAATTATAAATCTCAGAAATAAGGTGAAAAGAATTCTTATATTTAGAATCAAATTTAACCTCATGTAAGCTTCAATATTTAAGACTAAGGTGAGTATACTATTTATCTTTGTCTCTTTATGAACTAGTCTAATCGTATATTCCTTTCTTGTATAATCATCGATGGAGTTCCAGGATTGGAATACCTTCTTGCTGGTACTCCTATAATCCATCGAGACTTAAAGCCATCCAACATTCTATTAAGTAAATCTATGACAGCCAAGATTGCTGATTTTGGACTCTCTAGAGTATTTATCAATGAAAGAGACACCCATCTATCAACTCAACCAGCTGGTAATCCCAGTTATATTGATCCTGAGTAAGTGTTTAGTGTATATCAAAATAAAATAAAATCTCAACACATTTTCTAAAGAACTACAAAAGACAACATAATACTGTTTAGTTTCAATTCATTCACCTGTAATATTGTTAAAATACACTAGAAAAATGTACATAACTAATTGTCATCTTTGGAAAATTTCAAAGATCTGGAAAACTAAACAAGAAAAGTGATATTTATAGTTTTGGAATGATTCTTCTTCAACTCATAACGGGTCGCCATCCAATAAATAGAGGACCTGAGGATATCAGTTTCATTGTTGATTGTATTCAACCTAAAATTGAACGTGGGGATATGGAAGGCATTGTTGATCCAAGATTAGCTGCAGGATTCAGTGCTAATTCAACATGGAAAGCTGTTGAAGTAGCAATTTCATGTGTTACCACCACCACCCCAGAGGCCAGACATAAGTTACATATCGCGAGAACTACAAGAATGTGTAGCTTTGGAGATGGGAATAAATGACATTATGCCCAGAAATTCATGTGATTATAGTAGCAACACTGAATTAATCACTGTTCTCTCTGCTAGGCAGTCATCATGATTCATGATACTATTCTAAACAACACTACAAAGCTTCACGTTTTGCTATAATAAGCTTCACGCTTGCACTGTTCAAGGATCATTATACATACATATATATATATATATATATATATATATCCACATTATCTCTTCTCTTTAAGTGACTATGGTCGAAGGATAAATTGAGACTCAGTTTTCTCACATATACTGGCAACACTGAATTAATCACTATCCTCTCTGCTAGGTAATCATCATGAGTTTTCCGCTAAACAAGACTATAAAGCTTCATGTTTTGCTATACGAGACTATAATAAACTTCATGCTTGAATGTGCTTGAATGTTTCAAGGATCATTATACTTTAAATGACTGTCCAAAGGATAACGTACCCTTAATTTTGAATTTTTGAAGCCTTTAACACAATGGAAGTCTCATAAATGCAATAAAATGCAATTATGAAATATGTGCATACTTTTTGAAAAAAACATTGATGCTCTGATTGAAAAGTATAAGAAAGTAGACTCTACAGCCTACTCCGCCCCTTAGTTTTTCCAAAATGGGGGGGGGGGGGGTTTAAAGTGGCTACTTCGCTTCTTAAACGGCTTTAATGAAGATCCCTTAAACCATTAAATTTAATGAATAATATAATACTATCTATCTCCTTCATATGGCCATATTGTGATATGAAATCACTGTTATGAGTTGAGGCATTTATACAATAGATTTTTGTATAAACTAACCTATCACAGTATACGCACATTTAACAAAGGGCTGATCCATTTTGGGCTTAGTTTGTAATAAAAGAAGACTAACCGCTTAAATTATAATTCCCTTACAAATGACGCAATTGTCATTGCTCCAGTATTTTGTCACTGTAAACCAGTTCAAACACACCACAACGTACCCAACTCCTAACATAACTAGGGGCTCAAAATGAAAGTTGAACTAGTATATAATTCTATTAGCACCGAGAAATCAGACATCAATACCGAATAGCAGTTGAGGATGACTAATCAAAAGGAATAAAATCACATGATAGTGGAATGGGACACAGGATTTTTTTTATTTTTTTTTTGGGTAGAAAGGACACAGGATATTAGCTGTGTTATTTTTTCTTTTCAATTACCACCTCCTTTGATTTCGTTCCCAACGCTCAACATGGTGAGGGAAAATGGAGGTTTCCAGTCCGGCTATCCACATTCGGCATGCAGAGGGAAAATGAAGGGCAGAGATGAAAAGGTAATTACAAGGCTAATCACCTCCGCACCGGTGGTACAACCCCCCTACCAGGTGCAGCTCCACGGCCAGCAGCTTGAGCCTGCACAAGCAACATCAACATAAAATATACAACAAACTAAATTATTCACAAACTATTAATCATATGACTCAAGCATAGGTAAACGTATCTAGGTTGGAATTAAAACACACATATCATGGATATGGCCAAAAGGAAAGTTAGGTTTATATAATCAAAGAATGTGAGCATAAATACCTTTGCTCGCATTGCAACTGCTCTGCCCCTACCAACTCCAAGTGATGCACCCTTGCCCTTCACGAGATTTCAAGAAGCAAAAATCACACTCAGAACATATATACAATAAAAGCGTCCTTGATCATTGGAAGACATGAAGTTACCTTAATTCTAGCATCCAATCGCTTAAACATGGGAGCATTCTTCAGCATGTCTGGTATGACCATAAACCTGTTAAAATGCCCAAGTCACAGCATTTCAGAGCACTTATAATTGCCATAAAGAGATCACAAAATCGTCTCTGGAGTAAAAAACTTCAATCAATCCTTAAGTAAGGTAGTTCATACCTGACTTTGCTGCCTCGAATAAATACATGTTCAAGTTGGGATGTTTTTCCATCCTGAGGAATGAATGACCATGGTCAGCAAAAAAAGATGAAGTTCAGAGTGCGTTAAGATCAAATAATTTTTTTTTAGCAAAGATCAAATTAATAATTGTATACTTAAAAGTTGAAATTGCTGAGACAAAACTCTCTACAACTTTTAAAATTGAATAATTGCACTTTCTTAGGCCCCTGTTACTTCTGGTATGAGTACATCAGTGGTAAATAAACAAAACTGGGAAGGCTGTGAGGGTACAAAATTGAGGTTGACATTGGGCATGTTCCAAAACAATACATGTCTGAGAGATAATGTCAGTACTGGAGATATTTGGTATGCTTATCTTTACCAATGTAAGCCTCCTAGTGTCCATTTGGCTTTACTATTTTTTCAGAAGGCCAGGGGAAGAACTAATACATGTCCTAGCACTGTCCTCTGAGGTTCATGTTAAATGCTAATTACAAATTTGAAATTAGGAACAAATAAAGTTCATCAAGCTAAAAATTGTGCAAGACAAACTGACAAGCATAACGTCTGAATTCTGAAATAAAATGGCAGGTATTGGTGATCGGATAAAATAGATTCTAGTGTAGATATTCACCATGTAGTATGAATGCAGTGATATTTTTCCTATATCTGAACAAATTATGCAGAGAAACACATAATGTCATGACTACTCTAGTAGTAAGTAACAATAACACTCATAGCTTATTTGTTTGATTCACCGGCTCCATTCCATTTATACCTGACTAAATGAAACTAATATGTCCTTTTCACTTGCCTTCTGAATTCTCCACATGCTCATATTTAACTTGTGCAACTTAAAATAATAAAATTCATAGCCAAGCTTTCAAACAACTGGAAATTTGCTTCTGGCCATGTCTCAGTTAAGGAAAGTGGAAATGCCCAACAAATGACCATGTCCATGATCAATCTTATAAAGTTTAAATCTTGGTTCTTCTCAGTTTAACCTTGTTTTACAGCCTAAGCTGGAGTAAATCTAGCCTTTAAAATAATAAAAGTTACTCGTCTGATCTAAAACCAGCAGGAGATTTGATCAAGAGCGCATAATTTGAATTATCTTGTACAGAGAATATCTCTCATCAAAATGCATTGAGTCAGCTTCCAAGCTCGCAAAGACAGAGTAAGATTGCTCACAAGCCTCTAGAAGGAACCAAAAGACTAGTAATCTCTCAATTACTTCCTATCTTTCCTTCCTAATCCCTCTTTCTAAGGTAATGTGCATGTGTGTCCACCACACGAGTTTCTTCATAGACGGTATCTCATTGTTCAGAAAATTTGCAATGAAATTTACAATTGCAACAAAGATTAAAATTTGCTAATCATAAATCCAAGCTCAGCGCAATTTGAAGAAAATCGACAATCTACACATACAAGTGAAAAGTACCTTGGCGGTGTAGGTAATGTTCTCGAGCTGACAATTCCAGTTGTCTTCGCACTCGATCATACCTCCTCTATAGAGCTCTCCGCTCTTCAGCTCTACGGTGACCACATGACCAGTGGCCTCGTGAAGTAGCTTCACTGGTATTCCCAAGCTCCTGCTCATGGCTTCCTTTTCACAACTCTGCGCAAAACCCTAATCAATCGAAGAAAGAAAGCCCGCCTTTGGACTTCGCCGCGAGACAGGAATTTTATTTATTTGTTTATTCATCTCGAATTTTTCATTTTTTTTAATCTGATTTTTATATTTCAAATTTTACTTTTGAGTACTATATATGAGACTTGTTAACGAGACTGGAGAGATTCTAAAATTTCAGTTCAAGATCCAGAGCAAAATTAAGTTGGGAATTAAAATTTTAATTAAATAGCAATATATTTTTTTACAGCTAAAATAGCAATATATATAATAGGACCAAGTGTTGTTTTCCATATCATAATTTTGGGGCCAAAAAAGAAAAAAAGGTATACAGTGATCCTAAGATAGTATTAATTAAAAAAATTTAATAAAAAAGAATATAGATTAGTTTGCACTACAAAATTTTTTCTAGTTCGGGCTTCTAAGATCTACATAAATTTGATTTAACATATTTGTTTTTTCTAATAATTTAGTGTTACCCGATATTATTTTTATTATTGCTGTTGAGGCTAACAATTTCGGCTATCATAATTTAGACTGATTGGTTAGAACACAATATATCTTAACTAAAGCCAATAATTCAAGTAGTATGAATAAAAAATTACAAAAGAAAATTTATGTTTGAATCCCACAATGTTTAAATTTATACTGGATTATTATATAAAAAATAAAATAAATACATCAACATCACTTTAGCACAAAGTCAACTCAAAGTTTTCGTATAGGTAAACTAAAAAAAGAAAATAATTGTGTAGAAATAAATAATAAAATTACAGTGATAATTAGGGCACTGAAAACTCAGGGAGTTATTAAATTAATATAGATAGTTGTTTCAAAAACTAGTGGTCTAACTTGTAATTGTAATTCAATTTATATTGATTCAATTATAATTAGATAATATAATCTAATTAAAATTAACATAAATATTTGTATATAATTCTGAGAAGGTATTATTTGAATTAAAAAATACATTAATCCATAAATAAATAAAATATTAATAAGTTAAAATATACATTTAGTCCTTCAATTTTATATAAGGTTTTAATTTGATCACTTAACTTTAAAAAGTATATTTTTAGTCCTTTAAACCTAAATTTATTAATAAACAATGACAGAATTGAAATTTTAAATATTGATAAAACATTTTCAAATATCAATATGTTAAGTCCAATTTTTAAACTATAATTAAAAAAAACACACAATTTAAACCGAGTGATAGTGTTAAAGGATAAAAATAGATTTTTGAAAGTTAAAAGACTAAATTGAAATATTACATATAAAAAGAAAGGATTAAATACATATTTTAACCAATATTAATATATAATGAAAATATTATGAAATACTACCTCCGGTCCTAATTATAAAACCCAGTTGACTTATTTGAGGAGATTAAGGAAGTAAGTTAAGTTAGTTATTTGTAATAAATAAGTGTTGTCATTCCTAAAATATCCTTGCTAATTAAGTGTATTGACTAGAACTATCATTATTAGAAGGACTATCTTGGAAAAAATGCATAAATATAAGAAAAAAATGGATTGAGATCTTATAATTAGGACCAAACAAAAAGTCAAACGGGATCTTATATTAAGGACCGGAGATAATAATAAATTGATGGGCTATTGACAAAAATTGTTTAAAAAAAAATCATCCAAATGAAAAGGACCAATAGACGAGATTGATTACCGTCTCCCGAGCTGTGACCACAGCACCCTACGAATCTGGATTTGATTTTGCGGTTTTGTGCCATTCGCAGTCCGCATCCCTTTTCTTCTTGTCTCTTGGTGGGGTCAAAGCCATTCTCACACTCATTCCTCTATTTCAAGCAAAAACAAGGGAGCAGGTGGCAATTAGAAAACTCTAGTTCCTTCATCATTTTCTCTCGGATTGCCTCGGCCTCATCTTTTGGAGTTCAGCATCTAACAATTTCGATTTCTGGGTCTGCGATGTTTGGCTGTTTTATCTTCATGATGGTGATGGTTTTCGTTCGAGGTAGGTTCTCAGGTTTTCTGTTTTACTTTCTTCTCTGTTCCATGATTTTCTGTTGACAATTGCGGAGATACTGTACAGCAGACGGCAACTGAATAATATTGTAATTAGAGTTCGTCTGTTGAAAACTCAAATGAGCAAATATACACTCGTTGGGCGTGGGGTCAGAGTTCAGACCCACTTTCCTTAGCTGGACCCCTTGTAGTATTTTCCTCTATTTCTAACTTTGAGAATTAAATCAATTGCTGAAAGCTGATTATTGTTAAGCTAGAAAGTACTCATTTGAGTTTTTAGTTAATTAATTCTGAGCTTTTGAGCCTAAGATATGATCAATGCCCTATAATTGCTGTGTTTGACATATTGGACCTTCTTGATGACATGGGAGTTTTATAGATGCTTATTTTTACATGTATATCTCTAACGTTGTAAGTAAAAGCTGCAAGCTTGTATCAATTTGATTGAATGCCTTATAGACGTTTATCTTATGGGGATGTCTGTTGAGAATTGGCCTCACAAATATTCTGTCCCGCTTAAATATTGATTACTAAATTGTTCCATAAATATTATTGATATTTCAATGTGTTGCAGTTTGAGGTTAGTTGGGTTTTCTTCTGGTTCTAGTCACACAGTTTTTTAATTGAGCTATTTGAATTGGTGATTTGATCTGCCTATTGTGTAATTCTTGATGATGCAGAACATAAAATTCACTAGAGATAGAAAGGGGGTGAGACGATCATGACATATTTCAACACTACTAATTTGACCTCGCAGTTTCAACTTTTTAGAACTTCCATTAATCCTGAAAACTTCTTTTTTCCAAAGGGCCTAAGAATCTTTAAGATGTATCCTGACTCTGCATTTTTTTTTTTTTTAATCAGTGCTTTATAGTAAGTCATGTGATTTTGACGTCATAACTTGTCAATTCTTTAGCTTCATCATGCCTTTTGCAACTATGAGAAACTATGAGAAGATCTAGTCAATTTGAAGGACGGACCACCAGACCTAATTTCTCTGATCTTTACGGGAAGAAAAGCTATCAAGCACCTTGTTAACTCAAGATAAGCTCAGCAGGTTCATAGAGAAAAAAATGGCCGCTGAAGATAAAAACCTTGTGGAAATTCTGGAAGACCTTAATCCGATAGATGTTGCTAAATATATGAATTATGTCAGTGCTCCTCAAGCTGGAGCTATAGCTACTTTCTCAGGCACAACACGTGATACCTTCGAAGGCAAAACCGTCATCGAGTTGAGATATGAAGCATATGTGCCAATGGCGATTCGATGTCTAAAGTCTCTTTGTTCCTCTGCTAGAGCATCCTGGAACCTGCACTCCATTGCTGTTGCTCATCGTCTAGGCACAGTTCCTGTGGGAGAAACAAGTGTGTTCATTGCAGTTTCTGCCGTCCACAGAGATGATGCACTGGAGGCTTGTAGGTTTCTCATAGATGAGCTAAAGGCAACAGTGCCTATTTGGAAGAAGGAGGTTTACTCTAATGGTGAAGTTTGGAAGGAGAATTCTGAGTTCTTGGAGAGGAGGTCTGATCTTCGTAAAGATGAAGATTTTCGTGGGAAAGTGACAGAAATGAAGGAACACAATAGGAAGCACTGTTGCAGGCCCAAGGTTCAGGTGAAGGATGAAGGTAACTGAAAAATAATGTCAGTCTCTGGAATCAAAGACATGTTGTATGAGAGACGTTCTGTCTATTTTTTTCCAAAAAAAAAAAAAGAATATTCAAATAATACAAGTGGATGATTGTAATTCTATGCTTTGTTCCTTCTGACCACATTGCTATGGTAAAATCAACTTTCTTTTACCAACCCGTTATTTCCTTGCGGAATTGCTATTGCAGCTGAATGAAGTTTGAAACGGTATGCAAAAGGGTTGCTTGGAGTGGTCATGATATTGATTGACATTGTAATAATCTCACTTTTGAGCATTGTTATAAAAGTAGTAGAAAATCAAAAGAAGAGTGATACTTGCGGTCATTTCATGAATGGAATGGAAAGATTTTTTTTAATTAAAAAAATCATATCAATAAATGATATTGCGGGTGAAAAATTGTGTTTAAATAAATAAGTAATACACTTATTTTTAAGAATGATGGAATCAATACATTACTTACTTTCTAAATATAGGAGCTAGAGAAGGGGTTTACTTTTATTTTAAATAAAAGACCTTAATTTATTTTGCCTCTCAAATTTATAATTTTTTACTCAAATTATTACTGATTGCATATATTAAGAGGACTCCTAATCAAAAAGTGGTTCTAATGCATATGATTTAAAAAAATAATTTAAAAAATTAAGACATATTTATTATAAATAACTAACTTAACTATTCAAACTAGTTATCCAGTTCTTATATTAAGGATGAGAAGCAGTATAAACTTTTAAAATGTCTATATTTAATTTCAACCACCGTCTAAGCTATACAATTTACAATTTTATAAATTATAATTTTATAAATAATGAATTTTGAATATCAAAATAAATATTTTATAATTATATAAAACTCAACAAAAAATTGTTGTGGATATTTTATTGCAAGACACGATTATTTCTTTATTTTATTTTGAAGAATGAATTCAATTTTTATACCACTTTTTTCCAAGGTGCTTATATCACAAGATGTCAAGATCTATGACATAAGTAAGTCTAGTAAAAGGATTATTTAGTTGAAAATATTCTCAGAGCAAAACATTTTACTTTCATTTCCATTTTAATTTATATATTATTTTTAAGAACTTAACTATTCTCACAATTCCTTTTACTGTTGGGCTTCGCAGCTGCATACCTTAATATGTTAGTTGTTAAAGCTTTTTTAATGTATCGTTTTATCTAGGTTTTAACAAAATTGTCTTTTATTTAAAAGAAAAAACCATCCCCAGCCACAATTGAAAATGTAGGTATAGAGAGGAAACATGCAAACTAAATTCATTTTATGGTAAATATCATTCACAATGGATTTAACTCTTCTTCTATGCGATGTGACACAACTCCAAATTCAAGTTTACAAGGGAAAGGCATTTTATTTATTCCCACCTTATCCAAAAACAAAAAAGATTCTGAGATCAATATCTCTCTTGTTTTTACCATGAGCCATTTTTCTTGGCTAACAATAAAGTTAGTTTTGCACATATCCATGACTTCATAAACTTTCTCTTTTAAGCTCCACCTTCAAATATAGTTGAAGATATCTTGTGAGCAAAGAAACTTGATAAATTTTGAAGCATTACAAGATAGGATGCTGGAGGTGACTATTAAGATCTAAGAAGCAAATTACTAGGTATGTTATCATTCATTTGAGCAACTTACCTTCGTATCAAAGGCTTTGTTATTTATTTTGTAATTTAATAATTTAATCAAGCACTACAACAATAACTCTTGATTAAAATATTTAAATATTAACTAATTTTTTAGTTGTTCAAAGATAGTAATAGTAAGTAACGAAAATTTTATAAATAGCTAGAGTTTATATATTATATTCATGCTGCTGATATCCTTTTCAGCAGCAATTTATATAGGAACTTATCGTGCAAATCTTCGGAGGGTAAACAATAGCATGAAGGAAAGCCTTGTCTAATACATGTTATGCATGCAATATGAATGAGTTAAAAAATCCAACCAACCATGGCTTTTCTCAAGAAATTTCAAAATATATATACACACTAATATTTGTATATTTTAAATAAAAAATGAAATGTATTACGAGATATAAAAATTAACTTTAGAAAGTGATATTTGTATGTAAAGTTGAGAAGAAGAAAAAAACAGGAAACAAACAAAAACACTATTAAAATAAAATCATTTAATTAACCGTGAAAAAGTTATGACCCCTTGGTTTAAAATTAATTAAATATCGGGGAGCTGTTGAGGGTAACTTGGTAAAGATGGGGATGTGTTAAAAATAAAATACTTCTATCTTATTTTGATTGGATTAGCTGACCAAAATATGCTCGAACAGAACTATTCTTTAACACATTCCTCATCTTCACCTCATGCGTTTGTAAAAAGTTAGAATTACACTTAAATGAGTCATGGAGGGGCAGGGTTATGTGGAAGAGAAAGTACAGTAGAATCTGCCAAGAAATTATTCACAAATTCTAATTCTAACTCTTTTCCTGGCTCTCCTCTAGCTACATTCAATAAATTATTTTTGTCATCAACTAAGACCAGTATGCTTAGTCAATAATAAATACTTATTTCCTCCGAAGTATTGAAGGTAAAGGATAAAACTTTTCTAAGCTTATTTCATAAAAAAAATTAGGAATTAAACTCCCAAACATTTACTCAAAAGTTGATATTCATAATAGTAAATTTTGTCCAGCAAAGAACATGGACTTAAGAATGCAGGAAGAGAAGACATGAAATACCTGTCATTTCTTCAACTGACGACCATATGGTATTACCAACATATGGGTATAATAAATTGACTGTGTTTAGTGGAATTCCACTGACCTCAACTATGTTTTGCTAATGAATTGTAAATCAATACCACTTCAATAACCAGCCTATTTTTGAACAAAATTGGATGATATCTACAAGCTAGACAAGAACACAGTGAGTTAAACTAAAATCCTCACAGACGACTTAACGGCTCGAAACTCTTCTTCTGTGACACTCTTCCAAAGCCCATCTATTAGTAAGCATCCCTTAGCTTTAACTGGTGGTAATACATCATGCTCTAATTCAGAAACTTGTCCTGTCTCTCTTATCTTCTTAAGAGTTGATTCATCAAGCAGCGTAAGGTCCAAAGTGGCATCTCTCTTGACACCATGTTTGATTGGTTTCTGAGTCTCCTTCCTATCCAATTCATGAATGTCTTTCCCATTATCAATACGATCAAGTGAAGGAAGATAACCAGATGAACCAGCAGTGCGGGGCAACATGCCGATTGGACATGGGTTCCATTCTTTAGCCAAAGCCCATGTCCGAGGCTTGTCAGTTAAGCAATCCATTGATGATGATGTTTTACTCTTTGTTACTCGTTGTTTAAACGACTCCAGCTTTCTAGCAGCTTGCCGTATCTCTTCCTCCATCTGAAGGAAATTCACTGAAGCCATGGGCAAAGAGCTTTCATCATTGGTTATGACTGAGTTGGATAGAATGACATGGGAGAGCTTTTCAACTTTCTCCATTAAAGAGCTATCATCCATCAATTTTGCAAGGAGAAGGGCTGAATCCATTAGCTGCTTATTGCTAGGAGGCAGTATTCGAAGACATTTTCGTACAAGTTCAAGCAAAACACTTTTCGGTACATTTGCTTTAGCAGATGGTACTTTGTTTAGAATCCCAACAACCCATTCAAACAAAGATGCAAGAAGATCAATCTGGCAAAACCCTTCCCTACGTGATGTTCCTAGACATTGTATTTCTGCACAGAGGAGAAAGAAACAAATAAGTAAAGATAAAACTACCTCAACCTTAATACTGTAATTAATAAAACAGTTCTATATCAAGACAGGAGATAAACCAAATGCATGTATATGGAACTTTACAATCATTAGGAACTCTACTATAATAGACTGCAAAATTTTCCACAGAGATGCTGAAACATTTGATCACAGTTCAGAAGTGAAAAACTCTCCCCATAAACTGGCTGCAGAATTACACTAAGCACATACCAAGCCTAAACAAACCAAAACAAAACATTGTATCTTAAATCAACTCTGATGAACAAGAAAAAAGATCCACAGTTCGAAGCTTACAAATTGTAATTAAAAGCACATTATAAACTTGACACTACAATAATATAACTCTACCTTGACATACAAAAAAAGTGGATCAGAGTAATTCCAAGTATAAAAGACAAAGGTTATCATCATCTTTGTACACAGATTCATAATCCAATATGACAAAATTCAAGAACATTGAAAATTGATTCTAATTCATGTTAGATTAGGCATCTAGCAAATGCTTTTGAAAATTTATTCAACAAAAAATTTCCATGGATAGTACACCTTAACTACCTTCCACCATCTTCATAATAAAATGTATTGCATCAAAGGCCCAAATTTAGGCGCACCCTAAGTATTGACCAAGCATGAAAGGCAATACCCTTTCAAGTACCACACAATAATTAATCAACAGACATTAGCCTCCACCAAAAAACACATTGAATATTGATGGCATGCATAGCAAGAGGACATCTACCTTCTTCATATTTCATTGCTTCCTGGGTCTCAATCATAATGAGTACTTCCTTGAGAAGGTTCACAAGTAATTCCGGCTCCTTATCCCAAAATTTGCGTATGACAACCTTCCAATTGGCCAAAATAATGTTTATGGTTGGACCAAGTGAAGCATGTGTCGCATGCTCTCCTAGTTCTGAAGAACTCAGGGCTTTTAACAAATACTCCAACAACGCATCTACAATCTCTGAGGAGTAGGAAGAATATAACTGAACAAGAGATTTCAATATCTTAGAAACCTGTTTCTTAGAACCTGAAAATAACAGGATATCACTGCTTAATTCACTTTAGATTCAGCATCATTGAAATGAAATACCATAACTAATGATTCCAGCCATAAGGCCTCATTTATTTTGGGGTCATAAAATAGGAACATTGATATATCAAATTATCAACGCTATAATAAAATCTTTATCAAGTCATATTTTTCACAATCCATGAAAAGTGAGACACATCTTCAAACTTCTTGCATCGCACAAGGCAACATGCCTAGTTAGATAAGACGACAATTGAACCCATACTTTCGCGTTTGGATTGCTGAATTAAAACAAGAATTAGTATTTGCCATACTCATCTCTGCTTGTTCCAACTAGTGCCACATATATCATCCCTAACTGTGCCCCATAAAACAAACATATTAAATTTTGGATTGACATGTAAATTACTTATCATGAAGAATTCCCTACTAAAGTCAATAGTTAAAAAGATACGGTAAGAACATTAAAGTTATGAGCGATGAAAACAAACAAAGCTCACACACGTTTTCCATCGAGTATTGGACTATTAGACTGGGGACTCTGGTTGCTTTTCAAGTAGGAAGACAGTTCTTGAAACTTGGATTTGATTTTCTTTCTAGCCTTTGCATTTCCATCACCTTCAAAAGGAATTGCCTTGGTCTGAGGTTCCCAATAATAAGATTTCAACCAATCAAGTGCCTGAAATTGATAACAAAACAGCATACCATCAGTTATATACGCAAGGGTAAAAACATACGAGGGAATAATTGCACTTGCAAAGCATTTGAACACTAATCGTCCAAGCCTACAAAGTAAAAAACAAGAGGAAATGAAACAAGAGGGCTTTTCATTTTTCAATTTTGTTCCTTCAGATTGCCAAAGAATTTTTTTTTTCCCCCCTTTTCATGTGAAGCATAATCTACATGTCTCGCTTAAGTAACAGCCTGTTATGATATTTGAAAAAGAAGAGGAAAGAGAGGGAAAGAGTAGGAGAAACAGAGAGACGAGAGAGAGAGGTACTGAGAATACTGAATGGATTGAATATTCACTGAAAACAAAACATCACACATACAATTGATTTAGGAACCCCTTTAAATAGGTTAGCTCCCAACGGCTAATTCTGTACGGAATCATTAAACTACCTGAAATCAACTAACTGAACTAACTAACTATAACTAACTACTTCTTATATTTTTAATATAACAATGCCCCCCCCCCCTTCAAAAGATCCTTGCCCTCAAGGATCAATAACCTGGAAATCTGGGAATTGGTTCTGTAAACTGAATAATGATACCCAAGTTGCCTCTTCATCAGGAAGTCCCTTCCATTGGACTAGAACCTCTGTAATAATCCTTCTTTTCTTTCTGCCAACCCTCTTGTTTAATATTTTTTCTGGATATAGAGTGGTAGGGACTGCTGGCCAGTCAATAGGTGGATGTCTCTGCTTAACACTTGGGTCTGGACAGAGTTTAAGCATTGAGACATGGAATGTAGGATGAATTCTGGATTCAGAGGGTAATTCCAGACGGTAAGCAACAGCACCAACCTTCTTCAGAATTCTGTAGGGACCGAAGAATCTAGGAGCTAGCTTTTGAGAGCTTCTAGTTGCAGCTGAAATCTGCCTATAAGGTTGCAATTTAAGAAAAACCCATTGGCCTTCTTGAAACTCCCTATCTGAACGCTTTAAGTCTGCCCTTTGCTTCATAGTATTAGCAGCCTTGTGTAGGTGATGCTTTAGGACAGCTACCATTCTTTCCCTAGCTTCAAAACTTCTGTCAATAGCTTCAACCACAGCAGATCTAGGAATGCAAGGAACATATATTGGAGGTTTCTACCCATACAACAACTCATGAGGTGTAATTTTAGTAGAAGTGTGAAAATTAGTGTTGTACCACCATTCTGCTAGAGACACCCAAGAGCTCCACTCCTTAGGGCTTTCCCAACACATACAACGCAAGTAGGCCTCTAAGCACCTGTTTAAGACCTCTGTTTGACCATCACTTTAAGGATGGTAAGCCGATGTTAGCTTTTGTTCCACCTTTAAGACCTTAAGGAATTCCTTCCAAAAGTTGCTGATGAAAATTGGATCCCTATCACTTATGATTTCAACCGGGGCTCCATGTAACTTATACACTTGATCTAGGAAACATTGAGCAAGAGTAGATGCTGTATAGGGATGAGAGAGGGGAATAAAATGGGCATATTTAGTCATTCTGTCCACTATAACCCAAATAACTTCCTTATTTCCAGATTTGGGTAGACCCTCAATGAAATCCATTGAAACACTTTCCCAAACCTTGCTAGGGACAGGTAGGGGCTGCAATAAACCTGGAGATGTAGTAGTCTCATATTTACAGCGAGCACAAGTATCACATCCCTTAACAAAGTCCTGCACATCCCTATGCAGATGTTTCCACCAAAACAGTCCCTTAACTCGTTGATAGGTGGCTTGAATTCCTGAATGACCCCCTTATGGACTAGCATGAAGCCACTCCAATAATTTTTGCCTTAGTGAAGCATCATTTCCCACTGGAAGTTTGTCTTTCCTCCTTAAGTAAGTGCCATCCCACGTGTATTTTCCAAGAGCAGACCCCTTCCTCTCAATTTCAGAAATAATGGCAGCCAAATCAGCATCATTCTTCCAACTTTCCTGAATCTGATTCATTAATTCTGGAGAAGTAGTGTCAAGGGACATCTGTAACAGCTGTGAACTAGGTAGTCTTGACAAGGCATCAGCTACTGAGTTATCATTTCCCTTCTTGTACTGAATCTCATAATCATACCCCATCAATTTAGCTATCCAATACATTTGAAAAGGAGTCTTTAGCTTCTGTCCAAGCAAATATTTAAGGCTTTGCTGGTCTGTTCTGATTACAAATCTGGTTCTTTCTAGATATTGGTGCCAATGTTCCACTGCTTGCACCACCGCCAGCAATTCCTTCTCATAGATAGAAAGATTTAGATGCTTGGGAGCCAAAGCTTTGCTGAAAAAAGCTATTGGTTGGCCTTGTTGCATAAGAACAGCACCTATGCCCAAGCCACATGCATCGGTTTCCACAATAAATTGCTTAGAAAAATCTGGTAGAGCAAGAACAGGGGCTGTAACTAGGGCATTCTTCAGCTTGCTGAATGCTGTAGTGGCAGAATCATCCCACTTAAACCCATTTTTCTTGAGAAGTTGAGTTAGGGGCTTAGCCAACCCTCCATACCCCTTAATAAATCGCCTATAATAGCCAGCCAAGCCTAGGAAAGCCCTTAGTTGCTTAATAGACTGAGGAATAGGCCAATCAGCAACAGCTTGAATTTTTTTAGGGTCAGTAGAAACTCTTCCATTGCTTATAATGTGTCCCAAGTACTCAACATTCTTGGCAGCAAAAGTGCACTTGGATTTCTTCACAAAATAGTGGTGTTCCCTAAGAATTTTGAAGGCTTGAATCAGGTGCTCCACATGATCTGTCAAGGAAGAACTATAAATCAGTATATCATCAAAGAAAACCAAAATAAACTTTCTTAAAAATGGTTTAAAAATACTGTTCATAGCTCCCTGAAAAGTTGCAGGGGCATTAGTCAGTCCAAATGGCATTACTAGCCACTCATAATGCCCTGCATGAGTTTTAAATGCAGTTTTCTCTACATCTTCAGGTACCATTCTGATTTGGTGGTACCCAGCTCTTAGATCCAGTTTAATGAACCACTTAGCAGCCTGTAATTCATCAAGTAAATCCTCAATGAGAGGGATGGGATACTGATTTTTTATAGTTTTCTTGTTCAGCTCCCCATAGTCAATGCACATTCTCCATGTGCCATCCTTTTTCTTAACCAAAACAATAGGTGCTGAAAATGGTGAGGAGCTGTCTTGTATAACCCCATTTTGCAACAATTCCCCAACTAATTTTTCAATGACATCCTTTTGAGCTGAAGGGTATCTATAAGGTTTTAAGCTTATAGGGTCAGCTCCTTTCTGCAAAACAATGGGGTGATTATGACCCTTTCTCAATGGAGGAAGACCTTTTGGCTCCTCAAACAGATCAGCAAAATCATTTAGAGCTCCTTGTATTTCCTGTGGGACCCCTTCTACTACATCTTGAATTGAAAGGCACTGCTGCAAGTGCTGTCCTTGAGGTTGCAGCAAGTGAATCAAGAACATTTGCTGCTCTTGATCCTTCTTGTATCCCAACTTCTTAGGTGGCACTATCATCATTGAATTAGGAGGGGTAGCTTGAAGTTTACACAGCTGCCCATTGTACCAGAAATGCATAGTGAGGGTCTCATACTCCCAGAAAGCACTCTTAATAGTTTTAAGCCATTTTAGACCCAAAACAATATCATAGGTCTGTAGTTCTATGATTCTCAAATCACATGTAAAGTCCATGCCCTGCATACGCCATCTAAAACCATGCCAAATCCCATGCACCTTCAATCTTCTACCTCCTGCAACCTGAACGAAAGAAAAATCAGTACCACTTTCTTTCCATCCTAATTTTTGAGCAAGAGTAAAATCTAGGAAATCATGAGTACTCCCATTATCAATTAAAACTTGAATACTCCTTTTGCCCACAAATCCTTGAATCCTCATAGCATCCGTACTGTCAACCCCTTTAATTGCATGAAGGGATATAAGTGGCATAGAATCATCATCTTCCTCTGGTTCATTTTCCTCATAACCACTGGTCTCCATTGGTTCTTCCAGCTCAATGAAATGGAGCTGCATCTTCTGGCGTTGAGGACACTTGTGGTCCCTTGAGAATTTCTCATGGCAGTAGAAACATAGGTTCTTGGCCCTATGCTCGGCTTCTTCTTCAGCCGTAAGAATCTTGGAATTCTTGGTAAAGTTCTTGAAGGCACCGTTTGTGTTCTTCTGGACAGTAATGGCAAGCTTATCTTTTTTTCTGGGTGCTGCCATTAAGCAATGCATTCTTGTATGGGGTTGATGTTGCAAGAGACATGGACGACACTGATGAACCAGGGGCTACATATCTAGTTCCCCTTTCCCCCGTTTTCTTTTCTCTAATTCTGTCATTGGTTATCTCCTGCATCCGGGCAAGGCTTTTAGCCTCTCTGATTGTTCTGGGCCTGAACATTCTAACGGGCCCAGATATTTCTTCCCGTATCAAAGAAAGATACGCATCAACCAGCAAGTCTTCGGCCAAGTCAAATTTAGAAGAACAAAGATCGAACTCCGCGTTAAATTCGGCTAGAGTCCCCAGTTGTCGCAAACGGAGTAGGTTGCCCATCGGAGACTCATACGTAGGACCGAAACAATCCTTTAATTTTGCGACGTAATCTTCCCAAGCTGGCAGAGCTCCTCGCCATCGCCGTTCGCACGCAATATGCCATCGAAACGCGTCTTCATCGAGGTGTAAGCTCGCCATTTTCACTTTCGCATCCTCGGGTGTATTATCCAACTCAAAATACCGTTCACAACGCAAGACCCAGGCGACGACATCTTGACGAGAGAATTTCGGAAAATCCATTCGAGTGAATTGCATCTGCCGAGGTCACGCCGCATCGTGATTTCGCATTTCTTGGTTTCGGTTCAAGATTCTGGGTTGCTCGCGATTTTCATTTTGGGTCGCCACCAGCTGTCGGACGTCCTCCATGCTTCGCGCCAGAACCTGAAGTTGATCGGTGACTCCATTAACCGTTTCCTGTAGCGTCGAGACGGAGCCCAGTTGATCTTCGATCACTTGTAAGCGTTC